GCGACCCCCTAATTCGTCCCAAAGTCGGACCCCAATAGATCATAATCGCTATCAGCCACCGATGGAGGGGCTCGATAGAAGACTGTCACTCATTCTAGAGCACATGCTTAGATTCAGTTCATGCTCTAGTGCAAGCGCGTATTTGTCTGCGTCTTACTGGACGTAGGAAAGACGCTTCAAGGAAACCTCTTAGGGCCCTACCTAATGATAGTCAAGCTAAGAGTATATTTCAGGAACAACTAGGAAAAGTTAGGCAGCCATGTATGTGATGACTACCCCGAGGCAGAGTGGACGTTGACGTGCTTCTAGAAATAACACTCTCCTCATCTAAATTTCCAGGGGCTGAACTTCTACCGGGAGGTTCACTTGTTGACTTAGAATATGCTGATGACATAGTTTTATTTGGTGAAGACGCTGACAAAATGCAGAGTCTTCTAACCACTCTAAGCAACAATGCAAGCATGTTCGGGATGCGATTCTCTCCCTCGAAATGCAAAATGTTGCTTCAGGATTGGGTTACATCGACACCCGAACTAGTGATAGGGAGTGAAGTAGTTGAGTGTGTTGACCGCTTCACTTATCTTGGAAGTCTCATCAGCCCTTGTGGTTTGGTGTGTGACGAAATCTCAGCACGGATACAGAAGGCTCGACTAGCCTTTGCCAACTTGCGTCATTTGTGGCGTAGGCGAGATATCCGTCTATCAACCAAAGGACGTGTTTACTGCGCAGCAGTTCGTTCCGTCCTACTTTATGGCAGTGCAACATGGTCGGTAAGAGTAGAGGATATTCGTAGGTTACTAGTATTTGATCATAGGTGTCTTCGAAACATTACTCGTATATCATGGGACCATCGAGTAAGTAACACAGTTGTTAGGAAACGGGTACCAGGTAAGGATGGCAAATCAATTGATGAAGTAGTGAAACTTCATCAGTTGAGATGGCTGGGACACGTGTTACGTATGCCCAACGACCGACTACCTCGACGTGCTATGTTCAGTGGTATAGGAGTAGGTTGGAAGAAAGCTAGGGGAGGCCAGACCAAAGCGTGGCACAAATCCATGAAGTCACTGACAAGTGGACTGAGTCATGTTGGTAGGTGTAGACTACCTGGTTGGGGACCACGAGATGATAGCAACGGATGGTTAGAGACCCTGAATTACATGGCTCAAAATCGTTTGCAATGGCGCAGGTGCATCCACTCTTTGTGTTCTCCCAAATTCTAATCTTCTGAATTCTTCATGTCCCTTCTCTCTTTCTCTTTCCAAATTTATTTCACAGTATTATATTCCTTGAATAACATCGAACCCTAATCTTTCCGATTACTGCTTATACTCTTGCTACCTCTACCACTACGGAATTTGAATCGACAACTGCATCTTTAGGCTAATGTGGTATGGCAACTCGAACCGATATACGTACGTACGAAGTTCTACGTTGTTACTGACTGTGTGACTGAGATTCCAAGAACAACAAGACAGTTCTTCAGACTCATAAAAGAAACTAGAATCAAGAAGCCAAATGTAAGTGAGACTATCTCGGAAAAAGAAGACACTTATCTGTTCCCAGCCCAGACGTTCAGAACGATAGATGAAACACTTTAAGGAGCAGTTCGGTTGGCCTTCAGCTACTCTATAACTACCCACCATCCAGACGGAATAACTTCAGAGGTCTTTAAGGATGATGGTCTAGTCTTAGCGATTAGGTTGACTAATATTTTAGCTAAGATCTGGGAGTTAGACGTGATCCCATCTGACTGGTCGCAATCACCTATCGTTCCAATATATAAGGGGTCAAAACCGTCCTGTTATAACCATCGAGGGATTAGTTTGACTGATGTAGCATCTAAAATACTAGACTCAATAATTATCGGGCGCCTAAGAAAGACTTGTGAACTACAAACACGAGAAAATCAGACTGGCTTCAGACCTGATCCTGGCTGCATCGACCACATATTTACCATTGGTCAGGTTTTAGAACACATGCATGCTTACCGGCGTCCGACGATGATGGTCTTTCTTGATTTAAAAACAGCATTTAACTCCGTAGACCGCGAGATTCTCTGGCAGTGTGTGTCACTGAAAGAAGTACCTCAGAAGTACATAAACCTAGTGAAGGCTCTTTACTCAAACACTACCAGTAGTCAGAGCTTATGGCGAACTTATCTGATTTTGCGACCTCAAGTGGTGCCCGTCAAGGCTGTCCACTTTCTCCATTTTTGTTTAACTTAATCAAAGATCTACTGATGGAAATAATGCTCTCATCGACTGAATTATCGGGCATTGATCTCCTACCAGGAGGTCCACTTATCGACTTAGAATACGCAGATGATATAGTCCTGTGTTGGCGAGGACGCTGATAAAATGCAGTCTTTCGGTAGCACTGAGCAACAATGCCAGGATGTTTGGGATGCGTTTCTCCCCCTCTAAATTCAGGTTGTCGCTTCATGATTGGCCTGTGTCAACACCTGAACTGAGGATAGGGAGTGAAGTAGTCGAACGCGTTGACAACTTCACTTATCTTGGAAGTCTGATCAGCCCTAATGAGTTGGTGCCTGACGAAATCTCAGCACGGATTCGAAAAGCTCGTTTCGCTTTTGCTAACTTACGTCACCTATAGCGAAGACGAGATATCCGTCTATCAATTAACGGACGAGTATATTGCAGAGCAGTTCGTTCCGTTCTATTTTACGACTGCGAAACATGGTCATTACGAGTAGAAGATACTCGTAAGCTACTAATATTTGATCACACATATCTTGGAAATATTTCCCACATCTGCTGAGATCATCGGGTTAGTAATAGTGAGGTTAGATGCAGGGTATTAGGGAATGATGGTAAATCAGTTGATCAGCTTGTGAATCTTCATCGACTGAGATGGTTGGATCACGTATCACGTATGCCTAAACACTGATTACCACGACATGGAATGCTAACTGGTGTTGAAGATGATTGGAAGAAAGTTAGGGGCGGTCAAACCAAAACATGACATCAGTCCATAAAGTCACTAACTTCTGGTCTGAGCCGTGTTGGTGGATGTAGGCTACTTTGTTGGGGTCTACGCGACTATCGCAACCAATGATTGGAGACCCTGTGTGACATGGCTCACAATCGATCACAATCGCGTCGGTGTATACATTCTCTATATTCCCTTGGACTATGAGATCGAAATAGCTTCATATGTCCCTTTCTATGAACTATTTCTTTCTTCCTATACTATATCCTTACATAAAACCATTCTTTTATATATCACACCATTGAGTTGACTGCTTCTATGAATCCGGTGTTCGTCTTGCTGTGCTAATGAGGTATGGCAACTTGGACCGATGCATATATGTGCCTGGTCCTACGTTGCAGCTGGCTGACTGGAATTACAATACTACTGATCATCGTTGAACAATCAATTGAGTGGAACTCGCCATAATTCATCAACTTCCTTGACTATGAGAAAACGTTTGAGAGCGTGGACGGGAGAACCTTGTTAAACCTTCTTCGACACTGAGAGTGGATAGGAAATACATTCTAGAAATCAAAAGCTAACCGAAAGGTGTTATGGAAACACCCAGGCAATCGACGCTGTAACTACGGACTGATCATTTGATGCTAATGAATATAGTTATGAGTGATATAGGTGAAGAAACACTTAAAGGTGTTATGTTTCTGCTCACACAATTATCTTTAGAGTTAGTATTGAATCAATTTCTTCATATTTTTTATTACCATTTTTGTGAGCAGGCTGTGATAATACCCGGAAGCCCAAACTGAAGTAGGTGGTTTGCTTAATAAGTCATTCTCCGGCCTTCTGACCTAAAGGTCCAATCCAAAAGACAATAGAGCAACGTCAGGACATGCGATACCATGGAAGCCGGTGACCAGGCATAGGTTTATACGCTATTCGATAACTGAGGATTCCGGTACCCACGAACAACATTGGCTTTGAATCTGAGTTTGCTTTTCATCTTCCCAATTACGTAGACGGAACGTTGCTGTGAGAGGCCAGTGAGTAGGACTTTCCTGGCAGTTGGAGTGTATGTGTGGTCGTGTGAGTATTTCGAGAGGGAGTGGACTTTTCACCCTCGGTCGTACTAAGCCACTTCGTGACCACTAAGTTGCACTCTTTCGGGACTTCAAAAAGTGAGTTCAAGGCAGTGCAACTCAGTGGCTTCAGACGTTATCAAACATGGCTCAAGGTACCAAAACAACCAAAAGAGGGGAATTAATGGAGAGCAAAGTGTTAATTTTGGGGAAATGTACTTTTTCTCCATCGTGTGTGAATTCTGAGGAAATGTCTCAGTGAGGAGTAAATACATAGACACACTGGGGAAAAGTAGACCGGCTTCCATAGAAACCGTGGAAAAAGAATAACATACTAACAACCTAGGTTGTTTTAAAAGTTGTAGCAAAAGTAGACAAGTTGGCGTATATTTAGGCGAAAAGTAGACAATTCAGCGACATTTGAGAGACAGGGCGACAAAAAGGAGGAAATCCGCATTATTTCCCCTGGGCAGGCGAAAAAGTAAAAGTTTTGGCGCGTTTCCCCTTTGTTGGTTGATTGGACTTGAGCAAATAAAGAAACGCTGCCTAGCCATGAAATAATGAATAGTGAAATAGTGGAATATCAGCTCTGGCTCGAATAATTAACCATCACAGGCCAACTTATTCTTCGTAGTAAGGAAAAAATGTGGGGTTATCATATAGGGAGTCGGGGTAGTATTCTGAGTAAGAGTTACTACCCCATAAATACTGATCATTTACAGTTCTAAACATCAATGGGAAGATTCGATCAAACAATACCAATTGAATTCTAAGTATGAATTACTACCCCATAGAGTTTCCATAACATGGCATTGGTTATAATTTAAGAAGGCAAGGATTGGGTACTAGAAAAGGCTACAGATTTGGGTTGGGTTTGCAAATTACACTCAAGGCTTTCACCACTTAATAACAAAATCAACAAGGAATAACACAAGCCCGAAAATAAAGTAATATTGGAATCGAAACTACCAGCGGATAATTTCCCATGCAACAACTGCTGCACTTTAAACTTAGCGCAGATTGTATGAGACGTAATCTCAATTTTGATTGGTTAATTCTGTTACAACTTCAGCATAGAAGAACAACAGAATTGTGGCCTGGGTTATTCTTAGTAATGGCAGTCCCTCAGTTGACTCAACTTCCTTTTGGTAGCAGATGGAGCTTCAATCGTGTGTTGAGATAATGGGTTCCATTCGTTGATGATTCGATGGGAAAGTCAATAATCATCTTACAAGTAAATTGTTCCAGGTTTATGAACCTTTTTTGAAGTGTTTTCGTTAACTCTCTGTTTTGGAAGACAAGACAAGTTAATGCATATCATTTGCCAATACTTCATCAAGTAGTTTAAAAATTGTGATGAAATCGCTTCTAATTCATCTATATGACAAGGGAAATAGGTTTAGTTTAGTCAGTCGTGCATCATACAGGAGCTTTGAAATTCTGAGAATCAGCATGTAGGGCCAGTGAAATGTCACGGAGCCCTAGCCAAATCATCCGGCAGTTGGATCACTGGATGTCGAACAGATCATCGCTCCCTGCCAAGGTCATGTACAAGCAACGCGCATTAGTTAATCATACGCCATGGACTGGCCCATGCGGCAGTGGTCTTATTTTCGCTTGTATCTACCTTAACTAATATATTTCTGTGATAACGTCCAATGTGTTGTACAGTCTTCAAAGCATCTATGGTACCGTGATACGTCAATGGGGTAGTCCACGTAAGGTCCTGACCACAAGGTGTGACTTCGACATTAGCTAGTTTGTCACACCATTCATGTCTAACTCGAGTAGGCCTCCAATCATTTCGACATAGATCATCTACGTTGGTGATCTACAAGCATATTTGCACTTCTGAAAATCTATTCCAGCAGCTCACTGTCTCTTTTTAAGCAGGGACTAGCTGCTTATATTCAGTACTCCAGTTTGTGACGAACAAATACTGTACACGAAGACATAAAGATTTTAGCATCGACGTAGCTAAAGGCTTTACGTATTGACCATTGGGAATAAGCGCACTTTTCGGACGGGAAGTTTAGTCCTAACGTGATTTGCATTTATCAAACTTTTGCTGTGTTCTTACACAACAAAAGTACCATTTCTGACCAAAAAATCTATCCTGAGCTATACGTTCGGTAGATTACTTTTTTTTAGTTTCACCTCATTTAATAGTTAACTGTGTTTTTGCCTCCGCTTACTATTCGGTTTTTTTTCAGTTTCTTACGTAAAGACTAGTTCAGTTTATCTCATCCGTTTTATCCATTCTTGTCTGTTTTCAGTGTGCTTTTTAGTGTATTTTTTACGGTTTTAGGCTTTTGCTAGCATCTACAACACAGTTTACGTCAATACAGTCATGAAAAATTCATGCAAACGACCTGGATGCCGTTTTGCTGTTACATCTGGCATGCAGTTCGACAACTGCAAAGGTTGGTTCCACGAAGCGTGCACAGATCTCACAGCAACTGCTTACAACAGACTCAGCAATTCGGATCATAAGTGGGAATGTGTTATGTGCAGCACGGATGCTGCAGTCTTACTGAGTAACATCATTGTCCTACTAACAGGTCTGCAGAGCAATTTGTCGGCAAACTTGGGAAAGACAGTCAAAAAATGGGTAGAAAAACAAGAAAGCGCATTGGAAACGAGAACAGGGATGTCGACAGGTCTACCAACGACGGAGCATGCAACAGCATTAATGATGACACGCTGAAACTCATCACCGCGATTACGATGACGGTACTCGACTCCCTCAGCAAACTCGGGTTCTTGAACGCGACAGTGGTTCCCAAAAACTATGTAGGTGATTGGACCCATGTCAAAAGAGCTAAAAAGGGCCAGGCGTCACAGTCCAAGTTGAACATCCCAGCTGTTGAACGAAAGTCAACTGGTGATCTGGTCGCACAGTCTACCCCCAAGATTGTCCGTACGGTCATCAAGGAGCCAAGGATCCATAAACGTGCTTCGACCCCCAAAAAACAAGGTGCTAATCCTGAACGCACCGGAAAACCTGGGACGACAATAACGGTTCGTGATGACTCTCTCATAGTCATGAACTTCAAAGACAACCCTGATCTTCCTCTCAGTTCGCAGGATGATAGGATGCTCTGGGGAGAATTTAACAAGAAACTTGAATTTCCAAGAATAGAGCCTTTGACAGTCACACGGCTCACTCGGAGAAAGGAATCTAAGCATCAGAATCACCCGAGTCTACTTCGTGTAACAATTAAGAATGCTACCGACATAGAGGATGTCTTACTAGCGAGTCATTTACTGAAGTCAGATGGGAATGTAAGAATACTGCCTGGCATACCGTATTCTGAGCGCAATCTCATCCGGAACATCCCCAAAGAAACTCGCGATCAGTTTTTACGCGTGAGGAATATAATCGTGCAAGGTATACTGGAAAATACTGACCCTATTCAATCAAAGACTGACATCAGGGAATGGAAATTCATAAAAACAGTCCTTGAGGCTCAAAAGCACACTGAATCAACATGTGACGAGACTAGCCAAGAAGGATGGTGATTCTAGACCCCATCTAATGAAGATGACCTTTCCATCTTCATATATGGCGGCTGAAACTCTGGAAGCATTTCATGCCAACAGACGTCGACTGCCACCTGGAATCCACATGCACCCGGATAAGCCATACGAAGCTAGGACCAAACACAAAGGCAAGTTGGAGCTGACCATTCCACTTGTGGACTGTCTAGACGATAAAAAAACGTGTAAAGGACAGGGTCTATTACCTCGGCAAACCTCATATAGGTGGGCTACCTGTCCATTCACGTAAGGCTCATACAGACAAACAGGAAGAAGCTCACGCGTTCCAAATTGAAAACATAAACGGCTTATATATGAACGCCGCGAGTCTACCAAACAAATTGGATGAACTACGTGAACTTAGCAATGCTAATAAGGCCCATCTGACAGGAATATCTGAAACCTGGATATCTCAGTTCTCGGACCATGAGTTAGCATTACCTGGGATGTCTTTGTTCCGCAATGACAGAAAATCAGGATTTGGGGGCGGAGTAGCTGTTTACATACATTCTTGTTCGGAGGTGCACCAAGTTCACAACCTCGAGTTTAACAAACTTGAGGAATCTATACAGTGCTCTGTAAGATTGTCCAGTACTTCGAGGTGTCTAGTCGGAGTCATTTACAGGAAGCCAGCTGCCGAAATCGAGTACGATAGTCGTATGCTGGAAGGACTATCCCGCTCTACTCGTCTCGGTTTCACACATCCTGATTCTAGGGGACTTTAATCTCGCTAGAGTCAACTTCGCGGAACACACGTATACTGGAGGCGACAACTCAATTGAAGCTCGGTTCTTCAACCTCATCGATAACTTGGGATTGTACGAAAATGTGAGGTCGGCAACTCGTTGGAGAAACAGTCAGACACCACCGCGCTTAGACTGTATTCACAAACGAAGAATTTCTAGTTGACAACCTCCCGATCCTGGCTCCCTTGGGAAAAAGCGATCATGCCGTCATAGCCTTCAGTTTTGTCAGCAAAACTAAGCTAAGATACCTCAACAATAACTTGCGTTGGAATTTTAAACGGTTGAATAAACCAGCTCTATACGACTATCTACAACAGGTGGTTTGGGATGTTCACCCCCAACTCGATGTGGACGGTCATTGGGACTTCTTACTGCACACGCCCTTACGTGCTACAAACCATTCAGTTCCTCAAACGGTTCCCAAAAGCTGCAAGCCACCTACAGTAATCAAGAACCGTACCCTTCGCCTGCTAAGCCGCAAAAGGCACTGTTGGGCGGAATACGAACGAACTGACAACGACGGAGCGTACAGGCAATATAATTATATCAGGAACATATGCACGAAGGTTATATGAGAAGATAGGCTTCAGTACCAGACAAAGCTTATGGACAAATTTGCCTCTAATCCTAAAAGCTTATTCCGTTATGCAGCCTCTCTTCGTCAAGCCAAAACTGGAGTTTCCCAACTGGTAGGTCTTAACGGCCCGACCAACAACGATGGCGACGCCTTCTGGCTGAACATTAGTCCCAGACATTTCAACCGACCAACACTAACTTTACTGATGACAGTTTCATTTGCAATTCCACAGGACTTTCCGAAGTGAACCTAACCTGACTTGGTGTTCCGGAAACTGCAGCACTTAAGATTAGACACTTCTTCTGGCCCGGACATGGTCCACTCCGCCATACTGAGGGAAGCAGCCTCAATCTTGGCAACGCCGCTTTGTGTGATGTTCTCACACTCGTTAAGCCGAGGCAAACTACCGGAAATTTGGAGGCTGGCTCACATCACACCAATTTTCAAAGGAGGTCGACGCAGCGAACCTTCAAGCTACCGACCGGTGGCTCTTCTCTCTATACCTCCAAAAATTGTGGAGTCGGTGATGTGCGACGCTATACACGACTATTTATTATCCTTAAACTTATCTTCACTTCAACAGTATGGTTTCAGGAAGTTTTATTCTTGTATGACCAACATGCTGACTGTGGTGGACAGATGGACAAACATCCTTGATCGCAAGCTTAAGGTTGATGTCATTTACCTTGACTTCTCAAAAGCTTTTAAAATGTCCAGCCACACATGTCTTATTATTAGGCTCAAACGATTGGGTATCAAATCACCTCTAATTGATTGGCTCACTTCATATCTAAAAAATTGACATTTTAAGGTCAGAGTTAACTTCACTTTCTCTCAGGCTATGGAATGTCCTAGTGGGGTCCCTCAGGGCTCGGTACTAGGACCTCTTCTCTTTTTGATTTATATAAATGATCTTCCACAACAGGTATCGTCAGACTTATTAATTTTACCGACGACGTGAAACTTTGGAGAGAGATACGCAACCAAGACGATATACAGGCACTTCAGGAGGATCTGATTCGACTTCAAAGTTGGGCGTATGACAACGGACTTATCTTTAACACTTCAAAATGTAAAGTAGTCCATCTGAGACATTTTTCAGACTGCAACTACAACTTAAGAAACTCCTCTCTAGAAGTGTCTCAAGTTGAAAAAGATTTAGGAGTGCTGGTACCCTACGATTTGAAGTCATACTCTGTGACAA